TATATATATATATATATATATATATATATAATGGATGTTTGTTTGTTTTGTGGTGTTGTTTTTTTTACATCTTACAAATTACCAGATGTACATTTTAAACAGTAATTACATATTGTAGTTATGCATCCTTTTAAAATAGTATTTTTATACATAAGTAATAATAATTACAGAGTACTTTGAAAGGTAAGGTCAAAATACCTAAACACTTTGTGACACAACAATAATTACACATTGCAAACAGTCCTAAAAAGGCTTAATTTTTAAATTATGAAAATGATCGTATTTAAGTGGGTGTTGCGCATAATATGCACTTATGTTTGATGACATCACTGGGTGCGTGTTGCTTCATTTTATTCCTCTGTCTGTCTGGCAGTGGAAGAGGAAGGCGTCACTCCAGTGAAGCGCCGGCGGGTGAGCAGCAGTGCTGAGGATCGGCCGGCAGACAGCGTTTGCCTTCCATCTACTTCCTCCTCATTGGCTCCCTGCTCGGAGCAGAAGGCGGAGCCAGGGGAGGCGTTTACGCCAACCAGCACTTCGGACACTGAAACCCGAGACTCCTCCCTCATCGACCCGGGAGTGGAAAACGACCCGCCCTCTCCCGACAGTGCGTCCCTCGAGGAGAAGAAAATGGACGTTTCTTCGTCATCGTCATCCTCATCTTCGTCATCATCCTCCTCCTTTCCCGAAGCGTTCGGCCGAACGGACGAACCTCCACCGCAGATAGCTGGAAGAGAGGAGGAGGAAGAGGAGGATGGGCGGAAGGAAACGCAAGAGCAGGAGTCAGAGCCAGAGCGAGAGGAAGTGCCCTCCACTTCCTTCTCCTCTGCAGACTCGGTGCTTTTACTCTCCAGCCTGCCGGATTCTGCCGAGGGGCGGAGCTGCTCCCTCCAGGAGGCGGAGTCAGGCGGATGTGGCCACGCCCCCGTGCAGGATGCACTGGAGATGCTGTCGCGCACAGTTGAGGCCACTATCGCTGTGGTTGCCAAACTTTTGAACGGGAAAGGAGGGACACGCCCCTCGGCTTTGTGACGTTACTTTCGCGTCGCTCCTTTTTCGCATTTCACGTTTTTTCGTTCGCCATGCTGTTCAGATTTGTCTTTTTATGAATAATTGAAGTCCAACTTTTTTTTTCTTTTCCCGCCCTTTGGCCTCGCTCTTCATCCGTTTCGTGTTGCAACACAAAAAGTTCTGTTTCCGGTTCCAGAAAACTGAGCTCCGCATTAATTGAACAGAACGAAAAACCAACTGGAGCGTCTTTTGTCAAAGGGCAGTTTTTTCTTTTTTAAACCGTGATTTTGTTGGTTTCTTTGTTTTGAAGTGGTTTGTTTTCGAGGCTGCAGTGAATGAGTGTAACTAGTGGCTAAGATGGCTGTGTTCAGAATAGAATACATAGCGTACAATATACAATAGTGAACACCACATACTTCCTTTTTTTTCTGTAAATGCAACAATAAACATTTAAAATGTTTAAGAAACATTTAATTTAATTTAATTTAAAATTTCAGAAATACTACTGATTTTTATATTTTTAATGCATACAAAAAAATTTTTGTACAAATGCCTCAACGTTTGACTTTCAATTCAGATGAATCTAAAATATTTGCATATGCAACTGTTGTCAACAAAAATGTAAGTGTACAAAAGAATGTTGTGTACAAAAAGTAGTAGTGTGCTAGTATGCTTTTCTGAGCACAGCCCAAAGCACAAACTGGTTTAAAGGGTGCTAAAACTCAAACTCATCAAAACTCTTAAAGCCTCAGCTGTGGATTGTCCTTTGATAAATATACACGTCCACAATGGTTAAGAAACATTTTCAAAAAGTTTAATCATTCTAAAAAGGTATTTACATCATCAAAGATACAAATTAAACGTGTTTTGATACACAATTGTAGCTGAGCTGGTTAAAGTGCAAAAGCCTACTGTTATTTGTAAGCAGGTTTTGGGATGTCCGAATCCCTTTGTAAAAGACCACGTTGAAAATGCAAGGCAGTTGAATGTACATATTACTTAAAAGAAAGGAAAACATGTATGCAAAGGAGATTTTTTGCTCTTTTCTAAAAACAGGTGAGTTTAAGACAGCAGCTTAACTGAAATGAAACCTAGAAGTGACTGATGTTGCAAATGCTACATAGGCAGCAAGCATAAAATGTGTATAATATAGTAGTATATAGTATATTTATAGTCAACATTTCTCTGTCTTGTCACAATGCATTATGGGATTTGCTTGTATCTTTTGGAATTGCCTTAAAATGCGACTCACTATGTTATGGAACAGAGCGTTAATAGTGTGTCAGAATTCATTTTAAAATCATGAACTCTTATAATGACAAGTATTGAGGAGCTTTGATCCATTGGGATGTTTTCAGAAGGCAGAGATGCTGCTTCCGTTTCTCAAATCTGCGTCATTTTCGGAATATCTTTCAAACTCACGTGTGTTACTGAACTCAACCTGAAAAACAAAATTTGAAATATGTATTTGTAAATGCAAACTTTTTAAATTCCACTAACAGAATATTGGCTGAATTCTACGTATGAATTGAGTGCTTTACCTCTTTGGCTTCTTTTTTGCTGTCAACAGAAGAAACGTGTTTAGAACACACCTGATGCACATTTTGTATTTGAGATCAAATTTTTAAAAAGTGTGAGTGCATCTACTCTTTGACAATATTGTGGTGTTTACCTGGAAAAGTTAAAACCATTGTCAATGCTTGATCGGTTCTGTATTCCGCCAATATTGAAGCTCTCTTTGTCAGAATCTGTGTCCTTCATTTTCTTATTCCTGAGGCAGCAAAAATAATGTATTATATAAATACTTAGCAATTTTTCAGCTTGAAAAAAGTTTACCCCTAAAAAATTTGTAGTCATTTTGAAAAATGTGCAAGGAAAAATGGCCACTAATAATTTACCTAACGAGATAGACAGTTGTCAGAGCGATAATTCCCACAATGCACATAGCCAGCAGAACACTGAGAGCAATAAGTACTGCTTCACTGGAATCTTCAGAACTGTTTCCAGAACCATCCTCCACTTTGAATTCCAAATCGGAACCAAACACCTTCTCCAGTTCCACTTTTAAAGCGTCATGATTACTCTGCAGTTTCCTGTGGGACACAATTCAGATCCATCAAACTCGCATCTTGTTAACGGCATAGACTTGTGCAACAATGGAAACCTAGTAGGGTTTAAAAGCAAAAAAGGGAAATCTTTTATGAATATATTGCATTTCTAACATACTCTTTGACCTCCGTTGCTTCAATGACAGCACCACTGGTATCCATCGCAATGAAGCTGATGTAAGTCTTGGCTGTAGACTCTCGGAGAATGGTGCGCATCTCAATCCCATCCTTAGCTCTCACACTGAGGATTTTCACAGTCAAACCTAAAGCTTTCTTCATGGAACTGAGAAAAAACACCAATGAAACATTCAGTTTGATTTGTCAACTGCAACAAGTTTATTAAAAAGAACGATTCATTCAAGTTTGGAAAACATGCATAATATGGACTATATAATGGTGTCTTTTTTGAAGCTTGATAGTCCAATGGTCAATGTGAACAACAAAAAAAAACTTTCCATTTGTCTTGCAGTGAAAAGTCAGCCACATCAGGTTTGGAATGACATAAGGGTGAGTAAATAGTGACAAAATGGGTGAACAATTTGGACGAACATACTTCCCTTTACTTTCTTTTCTCAAAACACAAATTGCAATGATTAAACTTCCCTTCTGTCCCCATGCAAAGTAAGCTGAGAAATGGCAATTCTCCTACTCACTCTTCAATCTCTGGTATCTTTTTCTCCACTGTGAACACGGCCTGGTTGAGAGAGATGACCACAACGTTGTCACTTTCGCTGTCTTTCACTGTGATCTGTAGGTGGAAAACATGAGAGCTTGTTTTGATCTTTTGAATTTTCACAGATCTCCATCACAATGCCTTTGGTCATTTGAAAAAGTCTTGCAAAAGCTTTTCCTTGTTGTCTCTCTTTCTTCTCACCTGTACTGTTGCAGTTGTGGACAGTCCATGTTTATCGGTGGCTTTAACGTCTACGGGAAACAGACCGTCTCTGACACTAGATGCGTCCCGTACATAGATTTGACCAGTGTTTGCCTCTACTTCCACCAGAGATGTGGACTTCACCAGGGAATACTGCAATTCTGAGCTCTCGCCCACATCTGGGTCTGATGCCTGAGGGGCACATGACATTTCAACCACTTAGTAACCCCGAAAAATACTTGATTAACTACAATTAGCAAGTTCTCTAGACTATACTTATATATAGTTCTGTGTTCTAGGTATTTCCATTTTGCAAGGGTCTTCAAGGAAGTTACTATAGCATTAGCAATACGGTTGCTAAGATGTTCTCTGTGGTTGCTAGGTGTTTGCTTACTGGCCCGATTCAAAAGAACCCACCCCTAGGTCTCTATGATATTCTAGTCTCTAGATATTCATCCAGTGTACCTTGGCAAACGGCAAAATGAATCTGAGTACATCCATTGCATTTACAACTGATGTCTATGCCCTCTTTTGAAAAGCACCAGCCACCTCTGAGATTCACTTACCTGGACCTTCACTATAGGGAATTTGTATGGAGTGATGGTGAAAATTTCCGCCTCATATATTTCAGTCTCAAACACAGGAGCCTCATTCACGTTCTCAACCTGAATGCTGACCTGAAAATTAAGAGAGAGAAAGTCGAATGCTAATATATCTGAGCCCTGTGCCCACTTTTTTTTTTTTTTTAAGAGGAGAAACTTTGGTTTTAACATGTGTTGGAACATCAAGACTTGGGCCCAAAACACATTCTTCTCGAGTATGTGAACACAAGCATTTCTAGTTACACAAATTTGTCATTACATTCTTAAATTAAATTTATTCGCAATTTGCTACAAATGTTCTTTGTGCATTCTCAGTGTTGCATTAAGAGGTGCAATGTTCTTAAAGGACAACTACTCTGCAGGTTTTAGCTATCCACCATTGGTGTTTGCAAACTTGTGTAGAGTTTGTTTCTGGCCTTGTTTGTAGTTGAATAATACCATTGTCTCTGCAGTGTTTGGAGGAGTTCTGGAGTCTATGGCCTCTACTGTGAGGATGTACCACTCCTCTTCCTCCTTGTCCAGTGGTCTGAGAGCTTTTATGATTCCCTCACCATCCACAGAGAAGACATCTTCGTGTGACTTCATGTTATAGCTGACTGTAACCAGTGGACTCCCTGTTAATGCCTTGACCTCCCCGACTATCGTGGCCTCAGGTTCGTTCTCCTTAATTACGAAGTTGTAAGAGGAGCTCTCAAAAGCCACACTCTCAGTGAGAGCGGCAATTTTGAAGTTAATCAAGACTTCAGCTACAGAGAGAAGAAAGATGTTAGTTTTGACACGTTCATCGGATTCGATTTGAATACTGAGGGGAAATGAACTTTTTATTTGCAAACATTATTTGCATTCATTTGACTTTTACATTAAATGTTCCCTCCTGGTGGAATGACCTGCACAACTCAATCCGAGTTCTTAGCCATCTTCAAGAATTGGCTAAAAACACATCTCTTCCATCTTTATTTGACCCTCTAACTCTAGCACTCTCTATTCTAATTCTATTCTTTTTATTTATCATACAATTAACAAAAGCAAAAAGGCCTCGAACACTAGCTTTCTCTATTCTTTTTCTATTCTATCTGTTTTCTTTTTATTTATTATATTATTTAAAAAACCCTTGCTATGTGTACTGCGTTAAGCTAACTGAGACTTGTTATAGCACTTGCTCTTTTGTTGATTTTGATTGCTTCCATTGTCCTCATTTGTAAGTTGCTTTGGATAAAAGCGTCTGCTAAATTACTAAATGTAAATGCATTCACAGGAATTCAAAGGAACTATGCAAACCAGAACCAAACCTTCATCAGATTGTGCTGGTGTTCCATGATCTGTCGCTATTGCAGTCAGGGTTAGCAGCATGTCTTCTGTGACCTCGCTAAGGTCAGAGGTCAAAGTGATGTCTCCTGTTTCAGCGTCCAGTGCAACCATGGGAGAGTCTTCAGAGAAACTACAGAAAGACAACATTCATGCATCCATCTTAAAAAGGTGCCATGTAGGTAAGTGTGTTTTTATGATTAATCCTTAAAGAGTTTAACTTTTCTAAATGGAAGCCTAGTTATAAGTA